CGGTCAGTTCTTTCATTTATGTCAGGAAGATGACCTCCTAACCGCAGTATCTTCAGACCAGGGATACAGTGGGCTTTTAAAGGTTCTGATCTCCTTTTAAGTCCGTGTGGCTTGTCTTCTTCTCTCTCCAGGTGTACGTCACTGCCGAGAGCCGTTTTAGCACGTTGGCCGAGCTTGTTCACCATCACTCCACGGTGGCCGATGGGCTGGTGACAACATTACACTACCCCGCACCCAAGTGTAACAAGCCTACAGTTTACGGTGTGTCCCCCATCCACGACAAATGGGAAATGGAACGAACAGATATTACCATGAAGCACAAACTTGGGGGTGGTCAGTACGGAGAGGTTTACGTCGGCGTCTGGAAGAAGTACAGCCTGACAGTCGCTGTGAAAACGCTGAAGGTGGGTTGCCGAGAACTCTAGTTTTCAGGCATCTTTTCAGGCATCTTTTGTGCCGAGTCCCTTGGAAATATCAGCTTGCCCTTCTTTAACTTGGGAACACTTTCCACTCACTGGTGCCAAGCACATCAGCAAATTGCGATGGCGAGCCCTAGTGCCACTGCTGACAGAGCAGGCGGGAACCCACGTGGAGCAGGTGTGTGTCTCGAAGCTGCTGATTTCGGTCCTAGTGGGTGATGAGAAGCAAATGGCAAGTTAGAAAAGCAAAGCAAGTTTCCTCAGACCGGCCCCTGCTGGACAGAGTTCTTCAAGCATTGTTTGATTCTGTCTGTCTGTCTGTCTGTCTGTCTGTCTCCCCTCGCTTTCCTCCCTTCCTCCCCTCCCCCCTCTCACACCCACTCAGGTGTTTTGTTCTTTATCTCCCTGTCTGCATGCCTCAGTAACTACCATATCACTCATAAGGGCTGCTCTTCAGCCATCAGTAGTGGTCAGTTCTTAAGCATATTCTGAGTGAAACAATATGCAAGGCCCTGTAGACACACATCACTCCTTAAGGAATTTATCAGGAAGACAGACATGTAAACAGCTAACTGTTCTGTCTCCTCTTTCAAAGGCTGAGATATCTAGGGAAGTGAACTATCAGAGAACTGAGTTATCATCTAAGCCTCCCATGTTTCAGTTGCGATAGGACATGATTGCTGAATTTTGCTCACCCTGCTAATTTTCACTTGTTTCACATATTGGATAAGTCAAGGACCACTTCCTTTCTTAATCGGACTCCTGTAGAGCCTATTAGGTTATGATAAATTTCTTGAAATAATATGATAAACTATTCAAAAAACACCCCTTTTTAAAGCTGAAGTTTTAGGGTTGTGAGTTGACTCCAGTGGTTAAATGGGGGTTTGTCCCTTTCCAGGAAGATACGATGGAGGTGGAAGAGTTCCTGAAGGAAGCTGCGGTGATGAAGGAGATCAAGCACCCGAATTTGGTACAGCTGTTAGGTGAGGATGCTCGCCTGCACTGTAGGCTTCCTCAAGGATGCTTGTCTCTAAACTCCCATTATCTCTGAATCCTCCTCTTGAACCACCATAGTGGAGGCTCCAGGTGTGACTCTGCCTCAGTAAATGGTTGTCATTTTAAGCAGCAGGCTCTGTGTTTAAAAGTCGCCAAAGAAACCATGTGTTGACTGCGATGTACAAAACTGCCTCACAATCATCTTGAATGATTCCAAACCAGAAAGTCACAACATAATTTCACAAATCAAGAGACATTAAACAAAGGACTATTTAAAATTAAGATTAAAAGTTGAGACCACCCCCCATCAGTTTACCTTTACAAGAGAAAGCGCTGTGTCCTGATAGACTGGCTTCTCACCTGTTCAGGTCACATAAAAGGCTGTGTCTGAACCCTTTGCCCTTTATAAAATAGAGCCACTTTCTTCAGGTGTTTAAATTGTGCCAAACTGTCCCAAAGGAAACAGTTTCTTGTTCTTTCTCAGGAATCTATCATATATCAGTGAAACCTTTGACTATGGAAACAATTATGATCTTTTTACAAAGCATCGTTATAGGCTGTGCATAGGCACAAATTGGTTACTTTTGGGTAAGTGTTTTAGCGCACAGTCGAGGATGGGAATCGTGGGCATACACAGAGCTCTGGAGGTTTCGGTCTTCCTCGCCCCTTATGGAATGGATACAGGTGACTCTGATTCTGCCCAGACAGCAAATACTGAAACGCATGTGAATTTCTAGAATTACATAATGGAAGTGGAGACTCCTTTATCACCCATCTTCTTAACTTTGCTATATATTTTCAGAGGATGTGATGGCAAGGAGGGAAAAGATTATGGCCAAACTAGACTTTAAAAACTGTTGATTATTTTTGCTAAAGTGGTTTAGAAAGTATGAATAGATATTAGTAAAACAAGCTTTATTCTCGGGCTGCCAGGCGTGTGTACTTTGGAGCCACCATTTTACATCGTGACTGAATACATGCCGTATGGGAACTTGCTTGATTATCTTCGAGAATGCAGCCGAGAAGAGGTGACTGCAGTTGTCCTGCTTTACATGGCCACTCAGATCTCTTCTGCAATGGAGTATTTAGAGAAGAAGAATTTCATCCACAGGTGTGTGAAGCCTGGTTATTGCCTGCGATTTGTCACGAAGTGACCTTACATGTCCTGCAAATACATGTAAGAGAATGTGAGAACCTTTCCAGAACATTTCAAATGATTCAGGAAAGTAATTTTCTCTTTGACACAGCCCATTATGATGTTATTTCAAACTTATAAACCTTCTATACTCTGATTAAAGTATTAAAGAGGGGCCCCTACCTTTCTCAAAACAGGAAGCTGTATTTTGCCCAAGATTGTGTCCAAGAGCCTTTTGCTCCACCTAGTGGCTTAATTTAAAAAATAGCTCTCTGTCTTAGTAAAGAACTTACACCCTTGTAGAAAAGGATCTTGCTCACCTCTGCAGCCACCCCAGTGTGCACTTGACCCTGGAACATCGTGAGTTAGAACTGTGCAGGTCCACTTCGACACAGATTTTTTTCCCAATAAATGTATTTTTCCTTCTATATGGTTTTTTTAACCTCACTTTTTTATTGCTTATTTTAAGAACACAGTATAAAGCACATATAAAATATGTTAATCGTTTTTTGATAAGGCTTCCAATCAACAGTAGGCTATTTGCTGTTAAGTTCTGGGGGAGTCAAGTCGTCGTGGATTTTCAGCTGCATGGGGTGTCAGTGCCCCAGCTCCCTGTGTTGTTCCAAGGTCAGCTGTACTTAGGAACAAGATCCCATTTTCTGAAGCCCATTAACTGCCTCTTGATGGGTACTCTATGGGCGAAATATAATCAGTGGCTTTCTGCCATGTTGGCGATTACCATAAAACACGGCCGTATCTGTCAGCACTCCTCAACTCCGCTTATAGCACAGAGAACGAGAGCAGGGCATTCGGACTTTTCTTTGCCGTCAGAGTGGAATCACATTAGCGTTCTCTTTCCCACAGAGATCTTGCAGCCCGTAACTGCCTCGTGGGAGAAAACCACGTGGTGAAAGTGGCCGACTTCGGCTTAAGTCGGCTGATGACCGGAGACACCTACACCGCTCATGCTGGGGCCAAGTTCCCCATCAAATGGACAGCGCCTGAGAGCCTGGCCTACAACACCTTCTCCATCAAATCTGACGTCTGGGGTAAGGTCGGGAGGCCTCTTCTCTGCATGTGTCATTTTATTTTCTTTATGAATGCTTTCAGTTCTTTAGAGCTTCTCTTTTATGTGATAAGTACCCTCTGCCTTTACCCCCATTTAGCCATTCAGGCATTGTGCTAGGCACTTAGCATAGAAAGAAATGTTAAGAAGAAAGTAAAAAAAAAAAAAGTCTTTGCCTTCAAAGGACTCAGTCTAGATCTTATGTAACATTCATGTTCTAATGATCCTTTTTCTGTGAAGCTCCCGGTTTTCTGCGTTAGGCTTTATTGTTATTTCCAGAGTGCTGGGACACCCAGGAGCACCCACTTTTTCAAGGAACGCGTGCTGAAGTCTCATCTAGAATTTATTCTTGTAACTGATCTCATTTCTACTGCTCTGACAAGCAGTGTAGAGGCTCAGTGGACTGAATGAGTCTGGAAACTTGCACTGTGGGTCAGTAGAAACAGGTGTAGGATTCTAAGTCACTGTTTAACAGAAATCTCAAACTCAGAAATAACTTGTGACAAAATCAAGCGAATTATTTTTCCTAGTATGATTTTTATTTGATTTTAAATGAGTCCATGTTTACATTTACTCCGACTATTAGCTGACTTAAAAACTGTGAAACTTGTTAAATAGATCATAGATTCTTCTAAGAATAGTTTATGTCCCAGACTTCTTATATGGTCATAGGTGATTTTCCTTCATTGTAGTAAAGGAAATCTAAATTAAAATGGGAAATTTAAAGAAAACCATCTTGAGGTAATACCTCAGGCATTTCTGATATCTTAGAAGGACAAGTCATGCTGTAAGATTTAGAAGAATATACTTTGGGTGACTGAATGTTACCCAGAATTTGAAAGATACGTTACTTAATGGTAAAAAATAAATAATAAATCGGAGAGGAAACAAACTTTTTTTTTTTTTTTTTATCCCTTATGCAGCTTTTGGAGTACTGCTGTGGGAAATTGCTACATATGGAATGTCACCGTATCCAGGTATCGACTTGTCTCAGGTCTATGATCTGCTAGAAAAAGGGTATCGAATGGAACAGCCTGAAGGATGCCCGCCCAAGGTTTACGAACTTATGAGAGCATGTGAGTATGTTTGCATATTTTAATTTTGAAGGTTTAAGCCAGCAATTCAGGGTGATTAGCAAAATTGGAAATAGTTTTTTCTCTATCGTTAGATTGAATTAAACCTCGTGATATATAGAGCTGGTCATTGATCAGCCCGTTGGCGCATCATAAGCTACACCATTGAGTCTTACCGGAACCCTAAGAATAGTTGTCCAGGGCCCAAGTATTGACTCGATTTCCAAAAAACATTTGCATATTTAATAGGATAATAAGAAATTGGGTTTGGAGTTTAGGTAGGAGAGAACTGCTTTCATCTAGATAAAAGTGATTGCTAAAGACTGGAGAATGCATCAAAGTAACTTCTGTGATGAACAGACAAAAGCATCTGACTTCTCGAAAGTGAGAAAAGTAGGAAGGCGAGTAGTAAAGTGTTATGTGTGAACATAGATCTTACTTTCTCAATGAGCACGGGCATTGCTTACTGCTGCGTTGTTGTCAGCTGCGAACTCCAGGCTCCTCGCTGATACCCTGCTGCATTTCTCAATGTGTACAGCCAATGATTTATAAGGTTGGAGTGAGTTTGAAGACAGACTTCACTTCTTTAATTTTTCCAGTGGGAGAAAACTTTCCATTTTCTAAACTGTCTCCACACCCTCCTCATCCCTGTAGTAGAGGGCACATGAGCTGAGGCTGCATGGAAGGGCCCACTCTAGGAAGTGGGCCCACTGCACCCCCAAGTCCAGGATTGGGAAGCAGCTGCCTCACTGTCACTGCGAACGTGCTGTAACTGCTGTCACGACTCATGGAACTATCAGGGTGCCACTGGGCACTGAATTCCTGCAGGCAGCTTTTAACATTTCTCCTTGTTACGTAGGCTGGAAGTGGAGCCCTGCTGACAGGCCCTCTTTTGCTGAAACACATCAGGCTTTTGAAACCATGTTCCACGACTCCAGCATTTCTGAAGGTGAGACTCTGGCGATTCACGGTCGGTGGCTGGTCCTGAGTGGCAGTGGTGGTGGGGGCGATCACATTTTAAAAACGATAGACTCTTGTAGTGTGGAACTCCATTTCAGGATACTGAGTTAATTCTTGCCTTCTTGTTTTGCCATTTTTTTGTTTTTGTTTTTTGGGGTTTTTTTTGCTCCTTTTAATGTCTTTGTGTCTATCATATTTTTAATGCTGGAATTATATTTTAATTAGAAATTTATTCTCTTCACAGAGAGAGTAAATTCAGTAGTTCTCTAAGTATTAACACTGTATAGGGAAGAGAAGAGGGGAAAATGAGTATAAAAAATATTCTAACACACCGAGCCACACTTACAAAGGCAAATCCAAGCCATAAAAGCAATGTCCAGAAATTCTGTTGCTGGAAATAGATCCTAAGGAAATAATTAAGAGTATGAACAAAGATTTAGCTACAAAGATGTTATATCAGAATGTAGTATTTGATATTGAGAAATTAAAACCAATCTAAGTAGTGGGTTGTTAATTATTATATTCATATAATTGAATATTTAAAATATTCTTAAATATTGACATGGAAAGGAATTTAGAATGAGGATGTTAAGTTATGCTATGAATAGTGAGACCCCTTTTCTTATCTAAAAAATAAGTAGGTGGACACATAGGCAGTTTCTTTTGTGTATAATGCCTCTCTAAAATTATCTGCGAAAGTCAACCAATAAACTTACTTGCTATAAAAAGGGACTATTCCTAGAAAGCTAAAAACTCAAAATTCTTGGTTATACTTTAGATATTATTAGATACTTCGATATAGTTCCAGAATTTCATACCTATGTTTTAAAAATTTTCTTCATAATTGAACACAGAACTTACTAAGCTCAAGTTTAAAAATATTAGAAGAAATCAGGCAAGTTGATTTTTGTCTGCATCCCTTAGTGACTTATCACGTCTAGGTAAGAAGAAAGAAGAGTTCAACACCAGAGTTTAATAACGAGAGTACGCATCTCAGTCCTTTGACGTGTGGGACTTCTGTAGGAGGGGAGGGCACAGCTGCCTTGTCTTCTTCCCCCTGCGGAGTCAGAGCGGTAGAAGTCTTCAATACTGGCCAATGACTAGGGTCCATTTCTTTGGTAATGCTGTGTCAGCTCCATATTCTCTTGAATTTTTAGTTAAATATTTCTGCTTCTCTTTAAAATGTTACATCCTTTTAGAAAACCAGCCCTTATCAATTTTCAGCCCTAATTTCAATTCACAATTGCTAAACAAGAAATTTAGCATTATTTAACCAATATTTTATTAAACATTTAATCCGTGGCAAAGACTATACTATATCTGAGGACACAGAGATAAGACAGTTGCTACCTTAAAGGGATGCGTTTATTAGTTGTAAGTGAAAGAAAGCTAATTCAAACATTCTTAAGTAATAAGAGGAGGATTTATTGGCTCATAACCAAACCAAGGAAAAGCAGGGCTGATGCTAAGTCTAACCTCGGTTGTCAGTCGAAGCCACAGACTTGAGTAGCTTCAGGTCTCCCTTCCCTCTCCCTCCTTCCCAGAGCCAGGCCCACCCAGCATGTCTATGTTTGCTTTTCCGTTCCCATCCTCAGAATGCTCCAAGTGGCATTGGACACAGCTGCCAGCATCCTCGAGGTCCCTCGAGGTCCTCTCTCTCTCTCTCATAGCTCATATCTCTCTCCCAGCTGTGGTATTTAGCAGCATGAGAAAGGGATCTCATTGGCTTGGCTTAGGTTATGTGCCATGTACCCACTCTTGTGGGGTTTTAATTTTTAAAAATAATTACCAAAAAAGTTGTAAAAAAATTATAAAAGTTCACAAGTGATGATCCCGCTCGTTTCACTTTTGTTTAGGAATGAATAGCAAAGTATGTCTTTGCCTCAGCAAAAGCCACAGAACCCATGGCCAAGTTTAGTTTAGGCTCACTAATGGGCGAATATTTCAGGCACCTCATTTGCTTCATTTGCATGAAATGGACTGGAATGTACCTATTCTCCTCTTTACTACAAGGTGCAGCTGAAAAATAGAAGTATCTGCAGACTTCTGTCTGCTTTATTCAGCCCCTGAACAGGGACTTAGTAAATGAGGAGAGTATCCAGATGGCTGGTGAGCATAGGAAGCCATGTTTAATATCGCTCTTCATCATAGAAGTACAAAATAAAACAGTGAGATCCGTCGACATACCTACCCCAGGATGGCTAAAATTAAAATCAAACAAAAAAACCCCTGATAACATAAAACTCTGGCAAGCATGCAGAGTAACCAGAACTGTGACACAGTGCTATAGATTGGGTCAGCCATTTGGGGAGACAGTTGGGCAAAACCCAATAAAGCAGAATTTTTGTGCACCCTGTGACCTACCAGTGCTGCTCCTAGGTATAGACCCAGTAGATGGGCATGCAATTGTGAGGTAAAAGCCAGCAGGATGTTCCTAGCAACACAATAATAGCCAAAAACCGGAAACAACTTAAATATTCATCAAGAGGAGGGAGAATGGATGAATTTTGGTGCATTCATACATTTAAACAATTCACAGCAATGAGGAAAAACCCCTGCCACGCGCAGTGACGTGGATGAATCCACAGATAGAATGTTGAACAGAAAAGGCCAGACAAAAGAACGTGCGTACTCCGTGATCTCGTTTGTACGTTTCAGTACTCGGTTCTCCAGTGCTTCCTCAGTTGTATGCCCTTTCTCTGCCATGAAACTGTTCTTTTTATCAGTCCTGTTGTCTTCCTGACAGAGGTAGCTGAGGAGCTTGGGAGAGCTGCCTCCTCCTCCTCCATTGTTCCATACCTGCCCCGATTACCTATACTTCCTTCCAAGACCCGGACGCTGAAGAAACAGGTGGAGAACAAGGAGAACATCGAAGGGGCCCAGGATGCCACAGAAAATTCTGCTTCCAGTTCAGCACCAGGTACGGGTCCCTAGGCAGGCCTTATGTAAAGAACCATTCGGCTCTGATGCTTCTAACTCCACTTTCCTGCCCATCTGCCCTGGGGAAAGTCTGGCTGGCATCCGTCTTACCTGCCACTCCAGTCCCCAGCTCTGCGTTGTCGGTGCTGGTAGCTCCGATCCATCCCCTGGGGATGCAGCTCTGCCTCCCACCCTATTTCCTTAACTCCCGATTCCCACATGCATTCTGCCCTCACAGTCTGGCAAACATTTCTGCACGGAACCTGATAGGTGAGACCAGGTCGTGCTGTAGTTTAGAGAAGAGATGAAGGCTGAGGTAAAAAACCAGGAGGCTGTTTCTTTCCACTTATATCCCACATTGCATTTGGAACACTAATCAATATGAAATGATAACATTTATTGGTTTCCTCTGAGTTCTGCTAACACCTGACATTTAATACATGCTGACAAAACTCGTACAGTTCAGCCTTAGTAACTCGAGTGTAATGGAGTGACTTCCTGTGTTTCACGCTGCTGATCGGCCGTTTCTCATCAGGGTTCATTAGGAGTGCACAGGTCCCCAGCGGGTCTCCAGCACTGCCTCGGAAGCAAAGAGACAAGTCACCCAGCAGCCTCTTGGAAGATGCCAAAGAGACATGCTTCACCAGGGACAGGAAAGGCGGCTTCTTCAGCTCCTTCATGAAGAAGAGAAACGCCCCCACACCCCCGAAGCGCAGCAGCTCCTTTCGGGAGATGGAGAATCAGCCCCACAAGAAATATGAGCTCGCGGGTAACTTCTCATCTGTCGCTTCTCTGCAACATGCCGATGGGTTCTCCTTCACTCCTGCCCAGCAAGAGGCGACCCTGGTGCCCCCCAAGTGCTGTGGGGGGAGCCTTGCACAGAGGAACCTCTGTAATGACGACAGTGGCGGGGGTGGGGGCAGTGGCACAGCTGGGGGCGGGTGGTCTGGCATCACGGGCTTCTTTACACCACGCTTAATCAAAAAGACACTGGGCTTACGAGCGGGTAAAGCCACAGCCAGTGATGACACTTCCAAGCCTTTTCCAAGGTCAAACTCTACATCTTCCATGTCCTCAGGGCTTCCAGAGCAGGATAGGATGGCAATGACCCTTCCCAGGAACTGCCAGAGGGCCAAACTCCAGCTGGAAAGGACAGTGTCCACCTCTTCTCAGCCAGAAGAGAATGTGGACAGAGCTAATGACACGCTTCCGAAAAAATCAGAGGAAGCTGCTGCTCCAGCCAGGGAGAGACCGAAAGCTAAACTGCTGCCCAGGGGGGCGGCTGCTCTGCCTCTGAGAACGCCCTCTGGGGACCCATCCGTTACAGAGAAGGACCCTCCAGGGGTGGGGGGGGGCCCAAAGAGCAGGGAGAGGAACGGTGGGGCGCGACTCGGCATGGCCGGAGTCCCCGAGGATGGCGAGCAGACAGGCTGGACGTCCCCGGCCAAGGCCGCAGCGGTCCTCCCAACCGCTCACAACCACAAAGTGCCCGTCCTTATCTCGCCCACCCTGAAGCACACTCCAGCCGACGTGCAGCTCATCGGCACGGACTCTCAGGGGAATAAATTCAAGCTCCTATCTGAGCATCAGGTCACGTCCTCTGGGGACAAGGACCGACCCCGACGGGTAAAACCAAAGTGTGCCCCACCCCCACCACCAGTGATGAGACTACTGCAGCATCCGTCCACGTGCTCAGACCCCACGGAAGAGCCGACCGCCCCGACTGCGGGACAGCCCACGCCAGAAACGCAGGAAGGGGGGAAAAAGGCCGCGCCAGGGGCAGCAGCGCCCGTCAGTGGGAAAGCTGGGAGGCCTGCGATGCCTCCACCTCAAGTGCCTCCGCCCGCAGCTTCCATCTCGCCAGCCAAAATGGCCAATGGCACAGCAGGTACTAAAGTGGCTCTGAGGAAAACCAAACAGGCAGCTGAGAAAATCTCAGCGGACAAAATCAGCAAAGAGGCCCTGCTGGAATGTGCTGACCTACTGTCCAGTGCAATCACGGAACCGGTGCCCAACAGCCAGCTGGTGGACACTGGGCACCAGCTGCTCGACTACTGCTCAGGCTACGTGGACTGCATCCCTCAAACTCGCAACAAATTTGCCTTCCGAGAGGCTGTGAGCAAACTGGAGCTCAGCCTGCAGGAGCTGCAGGTGTCTTCGGCAGCTGCTGGTGTGCCCGGGGCAAATCCCGTCCTTAATAACTTACTGTCATGCGTACAGGAAATCAGTGATGTGGTGCAGAGGTAGCCACTGGCAGCCTCGTGGGAAGATGCACACACATCTGAGGGGAGAGGGAGAGGGACTCGTTTTCCTGTGTTCTTGTTTTCAAAAAATGAAAGACTGATACTTGAGTGTGTTTATGTGAAGTACCTCAGATCTCTGAGATCTCACGTTTACAGGTTCATCTCGAAAATAACAAAAGCAGAATTCATAGGCGAGGGAAATTAGACGGGGGTGGGGCAGTCATGGACAGGATTGGGAGCCACGTTGGAACATCAGGGGATGCCGTGAAGAACCACATCCAGCCTGTCCTTGCCTGGAATGGTTCGAGGGGCTAGGGCTGCCCTCGCAGTGTCGCGAGACCACCCACACACGCGGCTGGCTGCGACACTCGCTCTGTACCAGGTGGCTTAGGGCTCCAGTAGGTACTAATGGTGATTGTGTCCCAACTCACCTAACGAACCTGGTGGCACAGAAGAAAGGAGAGCTGGGAGTGTCCCGAGAGAAGTTTCGTTCGAGGCTGTAGGAAGCAGCTATTAGCCTTGCTCCCACAAGGTCACTGCTGCAGTCAGAACTGCAGATCAGATCGCCAGAATTAGAAAATCTGGAAACGCAGCCCTGTCTGCAGGCCTCTGTCCCATTTTCCGCTGGTGTGGTGACTGGTGCAGGAAGTAAAGAATGCTGGGAAGATAATGTCAGGGAGATTGAAGCCGCCTCCTCACACCTTATACTCGTCAGCAGAAGTCACTTCTCCCAGTCTGGTGTCTTGCTTCCTGACAGACCGGGACTGGCTTTCTGCTCAGTGGTGCCCGTCTGTAGACCGCAGGCACAGAGGTCTCGTCAGCTTGCTGGGCAGGCCATCTCCCCTTATTCCTGGCAGTGTTTGGGGCAGTAAGCGACACCGGTTTGGAAATCAGTGCCCGCGGGTGGGCTCTCCCAGGGAGTCCGTCTCTGACGCAGTGCCCCTGTGTGCCGATGTGCTGGGCTTGAGCAGCTGGAACCCACCAGCCAGGCGCAGAGGTCTGGCTGCGGAGAGGAGCTGGCTTGGTCCTCATGGCTATTTCTCTGTCCCTTTCCCTGTCCTTGTCACCTTAGACCCAGTCTAGGTAGAAAGTAGGGAGAAGCATCCTTCCTCTTTGGATTTCGAATAAATCACCCCAAACTATTCTCACATGCTCTTCTCTCTCATGTCCTCACCCCACCCCACCCCAGTCCTTGTGCCTGTTATAAGGATCATACTGAGAATATTCTTTGGTATTTAATGTATCTTAAGAATGTATAATTGAAGGAGCACGTCATTTCCAGGGAACACCAGTTAGATCCTGGAAACCTAAAGACTTAACCCTCAAATACGATTTGCCTTCAAAAAATAGGCCTTTTTCTTCCATACTCATAACTATCAAAGCTAATTAGGATCGCAGGGAACCAAATCTAATTGGTTAGGTAGTAGTATTCTCAATATCAGGTCTAATTCTAGTTACCACTCCATTCTCTCTTTAAAGCTTTATGACCCCCCCCCTCCCTCCCCAGAAGATCCCAGTACAAAAAAATAAATACGTTATTTTTTCCTTCCAAAGGAATGTTAACTTTAGGAAGATAGGAATTCAGCATTGATGAACAGTGAATTTTCTTCCTGGCTGTGTCATCGATCCACTGTCAAGCCACGGCCCCATCTCCTAATCTGTTGAATGAAGGTAATGATACGTGTTCTCACGGGCCTTTTACAGTTAAGGGTGTAGCCAGCCCTCCGAGAGCCCCCTGGGAAGCTCTTCAGTGCAGAGTTATGTTGATCGGTTTTTCACGCTCTTCTCTGCTCAGTAGCAGATCAGGAAATTTAGAAGCGCTGAGATTGTATTAAATGGGCTAGAATACTAAGGGGGGAAAACTACTTTGGACAGAGTTTGGCATCTTTGACCAAGGAGGAAATGAGTCTTCATCAGAAGGGAAGGAAACCTTGGTTCTTGTCATGGCTGCTCCGGAGAGGCCCAGGCTGAGAACGGGGCCTGCCTTGTAGTGGGTGGGTGGTCTCCGTCTGTCCCCTAAAGATGCAGCACAGGCAACTAGTGATGTGGTTATTAGTCCCTACAGTGGCTGGAAGAGAAGATAGAGTCCCTTTAATGTGGGTTTAAAAACCAATAGTCGTCCCGGCTCCTTTGCTACTCCCTTCACCGTACACTTCCATAAACTTGAAATCGTTTTAGCTTTAGCCTTTTATGGGTGGGGCGGGGAAAGCTAAAACTTTAGAATGTTATTATGCTGCTTTTTAAGTTTATCCCTGTCATTGTGGGATGCAAGTTGAGAGATTATCATTGTTTTTCAGGGTTTGTTTTTTTTCTCCTAAGCAAGGGATCTTCCCTTGACAGCTCTGAAAAAAGCCTTGGAGGAACACTACTGAGTGTATTTAAGCTCCCTGATTTTCTCACCGAAGAGTAGTCTTGAGGGTGGGGGCTGTGTCTTACTCAGGGGCAGCACCTGGCTCTGTCTCACCTCCAGTGGGTGCTAAGTTCATGAGTTGAATTGACTTTTCTCAACACTGTCAGTAGTTGGGTTGACTGTATTCTAGTGCCCCCCTCCCCCCCCGCCCCCCCCCGCACCAGATGCTTGATGTGCGTAACTTCAGGAGCTGAGGGCTCAGGGTTCAGGTTAAAGAGGCACTGTCAACTTATTAAATGTCATTTAGGGTTTTCCTTTTTCTACTTGAAAAGGTCCAGATTTTCAGAATAACCTTATGTAAATTTAAAAGTTTGAATTCAAAGAAAACTTCTAGAAACTAAAAATGTAGTTTAATTTTATCTAATTTAAAAGCGAAGCTGAGAGCAGGAGCAAAAGCCCTCCTACAGAATGTTGAAAACTTTCTAAAATGATTTATATATGCATGCATACCTTTGGGCTACCACAGCTAGAACCCTTTCATGTACAGATAATATAATTTCAGTTTGGAAAAAATGCAGTATTTTGTGTAGAATATACCTTCATTGTGCTTTACATGAAGTATTTTCTTAAAAGGCTTTGTGTAAAATTAAAATGTGTATATTTTCCTAGAGACTTCGTGATTTTCAGAGATATAGCCTTAAAAACATCAGCCCTAAGATTCAGTGTTTTTCTAGATGACCTCTGTACATCGAGGTCATCAGAGTGGAGCCCCTTGCCTATCAGCATTTTGGGGTTTAAATTAGAATTTTCTTATCATTCAGTTGAAAGTTGGTTAATAAAATAGTGCCCAGTTAATAAAACTTACCGACTCTGCTACGGCACAGCCCATTTGATGGAACTAAAGTCACGGAGCTTTTGAGTTGAAAGGATACAGTGTAGATTGAGTGCAGACTCTATAGCCAGTCTAGAAGGCAAGTCATTTAATCTTCCCAGCCTTCGTTTCCTCATTGGAAAACAGGGATGATACTTGTAACTACCTCAGAGTTGTGGTAAGGATTAAGCGATGGTACATGCGAGATGCTTAGCTTGAGTGCCCGACACATAATGAGCGCTCTACAGATGTTAACTGCTTCTATTGTTAATAAACTTAGTCCAGTGAGTTGTGCAGCAGACCCCCTGCTGAAGAATAAGAGCCGACACGGTGAGAATTCCCAGCTGGGCGTGGTCTCAGCCCGTGAGTTTTCCAGGAAGCCCTCCAGTGTTTGACACCCAGCACTGTCTGAACCCTGTCAGTGCCCAGCCTTAAGAACTGGAAGAGAGGATGCTTAAGTTACTTGCCCATTATCTCAGAGCAGCTGATTAGTGGCAGAGCTCAGGCTAGAGTTTGGGATCTCGTGACTTTCTGGTTGTGGCGTCTTTGTGCCATTCCT